GTTCTGGTTCTGCTGGTTTAGGTGGTTCTGTTGGTTCTTGTTCTAGTGGAGGATGACGGGAACACAACCTAAACCTCTGTAAACAGGCAGGTTTTCTTGAATAGATCAAAGCTGCAACACCAACTAATACACAGAGGAGAGAAACTGGAATGCCAACGATCAGTCCACGAGATGAAGATGAAGCTCCTTGCCTCTTCTGTAATGTTGTGGATAACACCATGGAAACGGTTCTGGAAACAGAGCTCCTGTCATCGGTGTGTGTTCAGACTTTGCTCTGTGGGGCTTTGGCTCCCTCTAGTGTCAGACTCCCAGTTTACACCTCCATCAGTTCAGATTTTCTGGGTTTGTCAGTGTTTGTTTACAGTCTGTTCACAGCTCATCGGCTCCTTTCAAGGTGCATTAAATCCCGAATTCTGTCTTAGTGATGGCTTTCTGATGGTTCTGTCCACATCTGGAACACAGGCTCCTTTAAGTAACAGTAAATGGAGACAGAGTAAAGTTTTGAGGCTCTGGATGAGGTTGGATGCTGTTATTAACCCGTTATTATCATTAAAAATAAACCCACCCCCCACTTACATATGCAGATGAGTAACCCGACATGGAAACATAGAGTTCTGTAAATGTCCCCGTAATGCGAAACGTCCTCACCGGCCGTGTGTTGTGCTTCCCATATACCTAGATCCTCTGATTAATTTTTAAGATATAAAAAAAAAACGTTATATCAGGTATGAGACAGGTGTGTAAATGATAGAAACATGATAACGTGTTTGCTGTCAGTTACTTTTTGGTGAGATCAGATAGCTTCTGTCCTGGTTTCTGGATGGAGAACAGATGAGGACCAAGAGGCAGACCCAGTCTTTACAGGTTTATTTCAGCTTTAAACACAAAAATGTCACATGATTAAAAAACAAGAACATAGAAAATATAAAAAATCTAGCAAATCCAGGACTGAAAAAGGCCCCAAACAGAAAAGAAAGTTGGGCGTAGCCGGTCCAGATGGAGGGAAAAGCCCAAACAGAAAAAATTATGTCACAGCAGGAGCAGAAACATTTAAAGGTTTCAGTCCAAAGTCTAAAAATGGGCCCAGCAGAGATCCTGCCGGGGACCAAAGGACGGGTGGCTCCCTCTGATTCGTCTTTTTGTTCATGATCGACATCCGACTCTTGAACTTCTCCAGAAGCAGAAGGACTCAGACTCTGAGCTGTTTGGGGGGTCGGAGTCAGAGGCTCCTGAGATGAAACCACTAAGTTCTCTTTGGGGTTTCTACAAGCTTAGATGACAGCATTTCACACCTAGGCCTTCAGTAGTGCTCCGTCTGAATCAATTTTTTTTTTTTTTTTTTTTTTTTAAATTTTGTTGGCTCTAGTGGCCTTAAATGATAGCAGCTGGACAGGAAAGGGGGCAGAGATAGAGAGGGGGAGACCTGCGGGAAAGGGCCATGGGCCATGGGCCATGGGCTGGCTACATATGGTCCGCCCGCTCTAGCCATTAGGCTACGCTACGGCCCAAAAATCATCTTATTATGTCTAAATACAGTAGGGATGTCCCGATCCACTGATGGTCTGACACCAAATCATAAAAGTGCTATTACACCAATACAACTATATTTCGGTTTGTTTGCTAACTTTGCCCTGATTGGATATCTGACTATCCAATCAGCGGGCGTGAATAAGGTGACGATGCCTAAAGCCTTCTAGAAGGCCCCGGCATCACCAACCTAAAATCTGATTGGTTAAAGCAACAGTTTAATAACATGTATTTTCTGTGGGGGGGGCGGGCTGCAGAACGGATTGTGAAGGCCTCCTGGCAGACATCTTTGACTCTGACTCTGCCTAGCAACAAATGATAACTGAAATGTGATTGGTTAAATGCTTTTATATGAGAATGCATGTCTCTATGAAATGAAATGAATATACTTTATACTTTATTGATCTCCAGGGAGAAATTGACTTAAAAAGGAAGGAAGCAGACAGACCATTTGGAAATATTCAATAAGTATTCATGGACAAAATATAATTAACATCAGTCTGTGATTCAGATATTTTCTTAGGCCTGCAGAGAAGGCCTTGCAGGCCCTGACGGCCCACCACTGCTAGATGATCTGACGAGCATAAACAGGAGGACTCAGAGCTGCTCTGGTTCGGTTTGGACCACCGAAAGATGTTGCGAGTTCCTCTGTAAACAGGCAGGTTTTCTGTAACAGATCCAAGCAGCAACACCAACTAATACACAGAGGACAGAAAGTACTGGAAGGCCAACGATCAGACCCAGAGATCCTCCTCCCTCCTTTCCTTTTTCTGGTCCTGCATCCTGGTCCTGGTCCTGGTTCCTGGTCCTGGTTTCTGGGCTGCTCTCTGTTCTTGTGGGTTTCCTGTCAGGTGAACAGCTGAATCCTTCATGCAATAAGTGCAGAAGTGTACTAACAAACCAAACACCCTCAAACAACAGTGGGCTGAACACAAGCTGCTGATTGGCTGAGCAGAAGCTGCTGTTAAGCATTTCTGGTTAAGGCAGTCGAACAGGAAGCAGCTCACCTGTATTTAGAGGTGTGCTCAGGTTAGTATGATCTGTCACCTTAGAGCGTGTTTGGATTCCACTGAGATTTGATTTTATCTGGTGCCTCTCAGTGGTGGAATTATAAATTATTCAGATTAAATTAGAGTCCGTTGTGTTTTCTTTGTGACTTAAAATAGTTAAAGTAACTAAAACTGCCTCTAAAGAAGTTTTAAACAGGACGGACTCAGATAGACGGTCAAGTCACAGTGACATATCGCAATGATCAGATCCAGGAAGTCTCGATGTTCAATGCGCATGCGTCTGTACAGTCACCGCCATTTTGTCAGGTTGGACTCGCCTCCATTCCTCTGCTCATCGACTGAGACGAACTCTGGATAGTTCTAGTTTTAACCCAGAGTTAGTCTGAGCTAATCGGGCTGTATCAGGTGGATCGGGACGGAGTGGAACAGGAATGTCTGCTTTAAGGTTCCTGTTTCTGACTCTTTTGCTGGCTGTGGACTCCGTTCTCTCTGCTGAGGGTGAGTTTACGACATGAGACGGAAATGAAACTAAACTGTCCACAGAACACAAAACCTGACTAACGTTTGGGGAAAAATGTAAATAAACCTTCTGTTGATGTGGGAGCAGCTCTGATAACAGAGGGTTAGAGAGGGACCGATCCGGTTAACTTCGGAAACTTTCTGTGGTATATTAAGATGGGGAGTTTTGTAAATATTGGTAACAAAAAGGACTGGAGGACCTCGTTGTGTTCAGTTTTCTATGACTGACTTAATTTCAGTAGCTGGAAGCCTCTCAGGGAGGATTAACCCTTTAATCATCCGTTCTCTGGTGTGTCCTCCTCTGGTTCTGCTGTGGAGGTGCAGAGCTCCACTCTGAGCTCTTTAACCTCTCTGCTCTGTGTTGTTTCCTCTCTGCAGTACAGAGAATCAACAAAACAGCTGAAGCTGGACAGGACTCAGTCACTCTGCCATGTGAACATGGAAAGGAAAAAATCCACATGATATTACTGGAGTGGACCAAACCTGGTCTAGACCCAGATATTGTTCTTTACTACAGAGGTGGTCAGATTGAGTCAGAAGGCCAGCATCCATCCTTTCAGAACCGGGTGGATCTGCAGGACAGACAGATGAAGGATGGAAACGCGTCTCTGATTCTGAAGAACGTGACGACAAATGATGCAGGAACATATCTGTGTAGAGTCATTCAGGGAGGAGGAGGCCAGAAGAAAACCTTCAATATCTCCATCCATCTTGTGGTTTCTCCTCCAGGTGAGTGTGTGTGTGTGTGTGTGTGTGTGTGTGTGTGTGTGTGTGTGTGTG